AAAACGAGCCCCCCACGCCTGCCAGGAGCTATATAAGGCGGATCGAGGCAGGCGAGGGGGGCAGCGCTGCCGAGCGGAGCCCAGGAGCAGAGCGGGAGCAAGCGAGAGCCTGAGCGAAAGACCGGGAAGCAAGGAAGAGGAAGCCTCCTGTGCATCGGAGCAGGATCGCAGGTGTTCGGGAGCCGGAGCCGGAGCCGGAGCTCCACAGCCGGCAATCATGTACCGATCCACCAAGGGCGCCTCCAAGGCGCGCCGCGACCAGATCAACGCTGAGATCCGGAACCTCAAGGAACTGCTGCCGTTGGCTGAAGCGGACAAGGTCCGGCTGTCCTACCTGCACATCATGAGTCTTGCCTGCATCTACACTCGCAAGGGTGTCTTCTTTGCTGGAGGTGAGCAAGCTTGGGCTACCGGAGACCAGCGCTGACGGGGACTAGGGATGGAGGAGCTTAGGGAACACGCTGAAACTGCCGCTTGTCTAGGACAGCGTGCTGGAAGACTGTGGAGAGAAGGGACTTGAGGGGACTCCGGACTTCCGACTTTTTCTCCGGAGCTCTGTCTAGACTAGCCTGAATGATGATCCTAGCACCAGATTTGTGGGAGATGGAAAGCTAAAACAGAATGGTTCGGGTTCCCAATACCTCAGAGGCACTCCAGGAATCCAGACAGTGGACGGAAGGAAGCCTGGCAAGCTGCAGGGAAAGTCTGCAAAGGCAAAGTCTAGGAAAGAGCAGCTTGTGCAGGGAAATGCTTAGAGGGACTTTCTATGCTCGCTGGGGGTGCTGTCCTGGGTCCTGAAACCACCTTGCTCATATGCTGCTGTCCGCGGTGCTTAAAGCACCGCCTTGCTGCACATGGTGCTGTCCGCGGTGCTGAACCCCAATTCCTTTGGGAGAGCTCTGTCCACGGTGCTGACAGTTCAGGGTTGCTGAGGTTCGCACAGGGCTTGGAAGTCTGAGGGCTCCCTGGCACGATAGTTTCAGCAACAGGTTTCCTGGCCAAAATCCACAAGCAAAGGGTCAACAGGTGTTTGCAGAGATAGGTCTGTGAGAATTCCCTGTCTCTAATCTGAGATTTAGACGATGCCCTCCTCATCTCTGTTTTGTACCCGAGTCTTACCCTGACTCATAACATCTTCTCACCCTACAGGCACTCCTCTGGCTGGCCCCACGGGGCTTCTCTCAGCTCAAGAGCTTGAAGACATTGTGGCAGCACTACCTGGATTTCTGCTTGTGTTCACAGCTGAAGGGAAGTTGCTATACCTGTCTGAGAGTGTGAGCGAGCATCTGGGCCACTCTATGGTGAGTACTGAGAAACCAAGAGTTCCTGGAGGTATTTGTGTGGAGGGTTCTGCCTTGAGAAATGCTATTGGTCACAGATTGGCTCTTGCTGTCTTCACTAATGACCACCTCTTCTTTCATTCTTCTAGGTGGACCTGGTTGCCCAGGGTGACAGTATCTACGACATCATTGACCCTGCTGACCATCTCACTGTTCGCCAGCAGCTCACCATGCCCTCTGCTCTGGATGCTGGTAAGAGCTTTTTACCCATCCTTCGGTCCACTCCTCTGCTCCTCTGCTCCAACCATCTGTTTTTTCGCTACTGCCCACTCTCTTAGTCCGTTTTTTCTTTTTTCTTCACCTAGATCGCCTTTTCCGTTGCCGATTCAACACCTCCAAGTCTCTCCGGCGCCAGAGTGCAGGAAACAAACTGGTGCTTATTCGAGGTCGATTCCATGCTCATCCACCTGGGGCCTACTGGGCAGGAAACCCTGTGTTCACAGCTTTCTGTGCCCCACTGGAGCCAAGACCCCGCCCTGGCCCTGGCCCTGGCCCTGGCCCTGGCCCTGCTTCACTCTTCCTGGCCATGTTCCAGAGCCGGCATGCTAAGGACCTAGCCCTACTGGACATCTCTGAAAGGTAAGCCCAGAGTGTTCAAACTCCAGTAAGAAGGCAGGCCAGAAAGGAGGGTACCTTAGATTCTTGACCCTATTAGATTCAGGACAGGGAGGATGGGGCTTACATGGGCAGAGAACTGGGAGGGAGTGAAGTGCATGTGTCAAGTTAAGGAAAACAGAAAGCTGACCTCACCTTTCCACCTTCCCAGTGTCCTAATCTACCTGGGCTTTGAGCGCAGCGAACTGCTCTGTAAGTCATGGTATGGACTGCTACATCCTGAGGACCTGGCCCACGCTTCTTCTCAACACTACCGCCTGTGTGAGTGTCCTGAGAGACTGTGGATAACACAGGAAGCTGGGAGAAGGCATGGGAAATAGATCAGGAATGGGTTGTGGTCCACACTGATGTTGAGGAGACCCTGAACCCAGCAGTTCTGGAAGCTATAGAGTCAACTTTGGGGTGAGAAGTCAAGGCAATATAGGACAGAGCTAAGAAACACTAAATGATAGTCACGGTGGGGAGCCTAGAGGTACAGGTTAGGTAGTCAGAAAATTCATGACTCCCTTAGTCCAGCCAGGGTGGAGGTGAGGAAGGTAGGTGTTTAGGTGGTGTTGCTTGATGTACCTCTCTTTCTCTCCAGTGGCTGAGAGTGGAGATATTCATGCAGAAATGGTAGTGAGACTTCAAGCCAAGCTTGGAGGCTGGACGTGGATCTACTGCATGCTATACTCAGAAGGTCCAGAAGGCCCTATTACTGCCAACAACTACCCTATCAGGTAAGTCATAAGATACAGAATGGAGGAGAGAGGAGGAGGAGCTGAGATCTGCATGGAGAGAATGCAACTCAGAAAACAACTCTGGTAACTGACAGCAAAGCCTTACAAGCCACTTCTTCTTTCCTCTCCAGTGACACGGAAGCCTGGAGCCTCCGCCAACAGCTGAACTCTGAAGACACCCAGGCAGCCTATGTCCTGGGAACCCCAGCCATGCTACCCTCATTCCCTGAGAGTGTCTTCTCCCAGGAGCAGTGTTCTAACCCACTCTTTATGCCAGCCCTGGGGCGTTCCAGAAGCACCAGCTTCCCCAGGGCACCTGAACTAGGTGTGATCTCAACATCAGAAGAGCTTCTCCAACCCCCCAAAGAGCTGGACTTCAGTTACCTGCCATTCCCTTCTAGGCCTGAGCCTTCTCTCCAAGCAGACCTGAGCAAGGATTTGGTGTGTACTCCACCTTACACACCCCATCAGCCAGGAGGCTGTGCCTTCCTCTTCAGCCTCCATGAACCATTCCAGGCTCACTTGCCCACTCCATCCAGCTCTGTTCAAGAACAGCTGACACCAAGCACCGTGACTTTCTCTGATCAGCTGACACCCAGCAGTGCAACATTCCCAGACCCACTAACCAGTTCATTACAAGGACAGTTGACTGAAACCCCAACCAGAAGCTATGAAGACCATTTGACTCCGTGCACCTCTACCTTCCCAGACCAGCTGCTCCCCAGCACTGCCACATTCCCAGAACCTCTGGGTAGCCCCGCCCATGAGCAGCTGACTCCTCCCAGCACAGCCTTCCAAGCACACCTGAACAGTCCTAGCCAAACTTTTCCAGAGCAACTGAGCCCCAATCCTACCAAGACTTACTTCGCCCAGGAGGGATGCAGTTTTCTCTATGAGAAGTTGCCCCCAAGTCCTAGCAGCCCTGGTAATGGGGACTGCACACTCCTGGCCCTAGCTCAGCTCCGGGGCCCTCTCTCTGTGGATGTTCCCCTGGTGCCTGAAGGCCTGCTCACACCTGAGGCCTCTCCAGTCAAGCAAAGTTTCTTCCAATACTCTGAGAAAGAACAAAATGAGATAGATCGTCTCATCCAGCAGATCAGCCAATTGGCTCAGGGCGTAGACAGGCCCTTTTCAGCTGAGGCTGGCACTGGGGGACTGGAGCCACTTGGAGGGCTGGAGCCCCTGAACCCCAACTTGTCCCTGTCAGGGGCTGGACCCCCTGTGCTTAGCCTGGATCTGAAGCCCTGGAAATGCCAGGAGCTGGACCTCCTGGTTGACCCAGATTCTTTATTCCTGGAAGAGACGCCAGTGGAAGACATCTTCATGGATCTCTCTACTCCAGACCCCAATGGGGAATGGGGATCGGGGGATCCTGAGGCAGAGGTCCCAGGAGGGGCCCTGTCACCTTGCAACAACTTGTCCCCAGAAGATCACAGCTTCCTGGAGGACTTGGCCACCTATGAAACCGCCTTTGAGACAGGTGTCTCAACATTCCCCTACGAAGGGTTTGCTGATGAGTTGCATCAACTCCAGAGCCAAGTTCAAGACAGCTTCCATGAAGGTGAGTCCAGCCTAAATGTCCCAGAGTTCCTGTCCCTGTCCTGTTTTAATCAGATGTAGGGTAGATTGGGTGAATGAGTTCCACTCTCTGGACCTCAGTTTTACTAAGTGAACAATATCATCTACCACTAAGGAGGGTAGTGAGGATCAGAACAATGCAAAACTTTGTATGAAAGATTAATAGATCTGGTGGGCAGGGGAGGTAATATGGGATAAAGTGATGGTCAATCCTTAGGCAAAAGCTTGGAAGTTCATGAGGGACCTAGACCAGTCACCATCTCCATTTTTTAGACAAAAATAATCAGGGCCCCAGAGTTAAAGAAATTTTGCTTAAGTCATACAAAAATGGATGAGAGTTGTTGCTTCCCCCTAAAGGGGATGTAGAGCAACAGTTGGTAGAAGTTGGAGAAAGAAAAGACGTTGCTGAGCCCCTAGCTCCATCTCAGTGGCCCTGTGCTATCCTCTCCAAATTGCCCCTTATTTACTGACACTCTGGGGATCATTTCCTCATTTGGCCAGCCCTTTTGAAGCCCATATTGGCGTTGTGCCACAGCCTGAGCCCAAGGACCCTTTTCCTAATAGGTTTGACTGATTTCTCTCTCTCTCTCTCTCCCTCTCCCTTCCCCCTCCCTTCCTCCCTCTCCCTCTCCGACAGATGGAAGTGGAGGGGAAACAACGTTTTGAATAAGTCTGTGACTTAACGTCGTCAAGTATGGCATATTGTCATCAAGACGTGGAGCCGCTCTCCACCCCCCGGGACTGTTGGGGGATTCTGGGGGCCAGAGGGGGATATATCTGATTCTCCAGGCCCCGAAGGATTTAGGGGGGAGGTGGGAGGGCAAGGGAGGGGAGCAACTTTTTAAAATCAAGGGACTTCGAGCGATCCCAGTTTCCATTTCAATCTGTATTCACTCGTAGTGAGCTTCCTTGAATGGATTTCAAGCGGAGAATGGGGGAGTCTCACTTCCCCACCGCGCTGCCCCATGGGCTTGGGCCAGTTCTCCATTCCTAGGGGCCAAGCCACCCCTGGGTTTTGTTGGAGGAAAGGCATGGCCCACCTGGGGCTAGCCTGTGCCCTGAGGGGCTCTTGACACCCACGTAGAATTCTCTACAAAGCAGTAACGGGATTTCAATTCCGATGGACTCTGCCGCCCTGGCGGCCCTTCCTGTGACTTTTGCGCCCCGCGCCTGGGGTGGGGGGCGCGAAGAGACGCTACATTCCTTTCCGATGGAGGAAGGCAGATCTGCCGTCACACGTGTGCTTGCACGAGTGCGTGTACCTGGTGCGGGACTCACCCGGCCGCCAGACTGCCTGGGCTTGCCCAGGTGGCCACCTCGTGGTGCTGCGGTGACTTTGTAGCCAACTTTATAATAAAGTCCAGTTTGCCTTTTTGGTAGCTCTGGTGTCCTGCACTACTGTGAAAAGGGAAGGGTGGGGAGGAGAGAACACGAGGAGCACAAATAGGAGCCCTGGGACAGGAGACACGGGCTGACCCTGCTCTCAGCTCTGGCATCTCGTCGTGAACTTGTTCATTTCTCCACTGAATCTGAGCCTTCAGCATGTGGTCCACACTGTGCTAGAAGACTGAGCATTTGTCTGAAGCAGAGGCTTCCTTGAGGATACTGGAAATTCTCTCTGTCATGGGTTTACAGTGGTCACAGTGTTAGGGAAAGCAAAGGGTCTGAGGCCTCAGCTTGACATTGGTCCTGGATATGGGTTCTGGTCTTTTCCTGCCTGATGGTGCAGGATACTGATGTCCTTGTGGAGCCTTAGATCTTACATTGGAAGCTGTAACCGGTTATCATCACATAGGGCTTTTCAATGAGCAAATATCTAAATCACTGCAATAAAGCTCCGTTTCACTGATAAACCAACTAGATGGTGGGTGTTTCCCCCACAGTTAGTGAGAGGTGCAGGTGAGCTAATACACCCCATCCCAAGTCTTGGCTGTCCTCTCAGCTCCAAAAGCCAATGAATTACTACAGACTCCCTAAGAATGACAGTGTTTGTTGGAGCAGGGCCCCAAGTTATCCACACCTTTGACCCTTCCAAGTCTGCAAAGCAGAGCAGAATTGTGACAAGTCAGTGGGAGAGAAAATTTCAAATTATGGTTTTTGACTCCAAACTCGAAGGCTCAACAGCCACAGGGTATGGCTAGTGGTGGGCAAATGAAAATTAGGAAGCAGAAATACCTGTATTCATATCACACTCCGACCACTTACTTTTGGAGTAGGCCTAAAGCTTCCACTTTCTCACAGGTAAAGTGAGGGCAGTAACAAAAACAACAACAAAGAGACACTGTTAAGATGGGACAAAAGTCTCTTCCAATTGAAGAAGTGCAGAAAAAGTCAGGTGGTGGTGGCACACACCTTTAATCCCAGCACTCAGGAGTCAGAGGCAGGCAATCTCTGTGAGTTCAAGGCCAGCCTGTGATGGGGGATGTCCTTCTGTATGTTGTGAATGTATGTTTCTCTTATTGGTTGATGAATAAAGCTATTTCAGACAACGGATGGGCAAGATTTAGCCAGGTGGGAAATCTGAATAGGGACAGAGAAAGGAGGAGTCAGGGAGACACCATGTGGCTCCAAGGAAGATAGGACGCCTAAGCATTGTCTGGTAAGCCAAGACCACGTGGAGATACATAGATTAAGAGAAATGGGTTAATGATTGAGAGAGAGCTAGCCAATAAGAAACCTAAGCCATTGGCCAAACAGTTTATAATTAATATAAGCCTCTGTGTGTTATTTGGGACTAAATGGCTAGAGGACCAAGTGGGGCAGAAATATCCATCTACAAGCCTGCTCTATGAAGAGAGTTCCAGGACAGCCAAGGCTACACAGAGAAACCCTGTCTTAAAAAAGTGCAGAAAAAAAAAAAAAACTCAGGTTGTTTTGACCTACAAGGCAGTGGTGACCTAGAGACCTCTTAGTGGTGACTTAGAGAGCCTCTTCTGCAAGGAAGGATGACAACTCCAGGCTTCAATCTTTCCACAGAAACACAGAAGCACAGCCCTGAAAACTGTCCTGGCCTCCTCTCATTTCAGAGTCCAGCTGCAGAGCCAGGCCTTCAGAAGGTCCTTCCCTCACAGAAAGGAAGGTATTCACAGGGCCCTGACACCCTTTTCTTCCTTTAATGGGTGTTTGGTGGAGCCAAAATCTGCACTGTCACCCCCAAGAGGACCCTGCCTTAGCTCCATTCCCTCCTCAGCACAGGGACAGTGAAGTGTTGAAATAGATAAAGGTGTTTGTGCAAGAATGATGATCTGCATTTAATCCTTGATGGAAGGAGACAGCCCACCCCTGGAAGCTGTCCTCAGATTTCTAATGCACTCCAAGACACACACAGGGCTGTGTGTATACACATACACACACACACTGTACACACTCCACACTGTACATACACTCCACACACACACTGTACACACTCCACACTGTACATACACTCCACACACACACTGTACACACTCCACACTGTACATACACTACACACATACCACACTGCACACATACACACACACCACACTACACACACACTGCACACATACTACTATACACTACATACACACATGCACACAACATATATTACTACAACTAATAACTAAAAATTTAAGAAAGGGGGTGGATTTGGGAAACTTCTGTGAGAAAAAAGGAAACACTTCCCTGATATTTGGCAGGTGGTGACAATAACATATATTTTATTTGTTGTGTATTTCTTTTTTGGGGGGGTTCAAGACAAGGTTTCTTAGCTTTGGAGACTTTCCTGGAACTCACTCTATAGACAAGCTGGCCTCAAACTCACAGGGATCTGTCTGCTTCTGCTTCCCAAGTGCTGGTATTAAAGGTGTGTGCCAACACCACCTGTCCTTGTGGTGTATTTCTTGTTTATTTTGCCTTTGAGATTTTTTAAATTTATTTTTTATTTAAATTAGAAGCTTCTTTTACATGTCAATCTCAGTTCCCTCTCCCTCCCCTCCTCCCTTCCCCCCACCAACCTCCCATCCCAAGTCTTTGAGATTTTTGTTTGCTTGTTGTAACAGGCCCTGGCTATAAAGACCTGCTATATAATATAGGCCAGACTGGCCTGAAACTCATAAAGATCTACCTAACTCTGCCTCTGGAGCACTGAATTGTCTCTTTTTTAAAAATAAAATGACAGATACTTACTGTATTTACATCATGCCCCACTTCCCAGTGTCCCTTGCCTTTTGATTGTTTGTTTTTCAAGACAGGATTTCTCTTTGTAGCCCTGGCTGCCCTAGAACTTGCTCTGTAGACCAGGCTGGCCTGGAACTCAAGAGATCTTCCTGCCTCTCCCTCCCAAGTGCTGGGATTAAAGGTGTGCACCACCACAATCAGCTTCTCCTCCTTCTCCTCCTTCTCCTCCTCCTCCTTCTCCTTCTCCTCCTTCTTCTTTTCTTCTTCCTTCTCCTTCTCCCCCCCACCCCTTCTTCTTCGAGACAGCATCTCATTCTTGAGTCCAGGCCAACCTTGAGTTCACTGTGTAGCACCCAAGTTGGCCTCAGACTTTTGCAAATCCCCCTGCCTCAGTCTCCCAGGTGCTAGGATTACAGACTTGAGCCAGCACTCCACTGATAACCCACCCTGAGGTTCACCCAGACCACCTGGTCCTGAGGTGAGGAAAATAAGATAGAAGAGGCAATGTTGCCACCTGCTGGAAGGAGAAGTAACTGCACCATTCCTGGCTGCTGAGGCTCCTGTGGCTGAGCGTCATCACCTTAGAACAGCTAGACAAACTGAACCCCCTGAGCCCGGGAACTTTAGAATCTGAGAGTGACTGACATTCTAGGGACACAGTGCATGAGAGAGGGGTCTTAGTTCTGTTCTATTGCTGTGAGGAGACATCATGACCAAGGCAAATTATAAAATAAAGTATTTAGTTGGGGACTAGCTTAGAGTTTCAGGAGGTTAGTCCATGATTATCAGGGCTCAAAGAGTGGCAGCTGGCAGGTAGGCATAGCACTGGAGAAGTAGCTGAGAGCTTACATCTGTTCCACAAGATAGAGGCAGAGAGAAACCTCAAAACAAAGCCCATGCCCAGTGTCTTAGTTAGGGTTTCTACTGATGTGAAGACACCATGACCACAGCAATTTGTATAAAGGAAAACATTTAAATGGGTGGCTTATGGTTTCAGAGACTTAGATCATTATCATCATGGCGGGAAACATGGTGGCATGCAAGCAAGCATGGTGCTGGAGACAGAGCTGAGTCTTACATGTTGACTTGCAGGCAACAGGAAGTAGTCTGAATCACTGGTGTGGCTTGAGCATATATGAGACCTCAAAGCCCGCCTCCAGAGTGACACACTTCCTCCAACAAGGTCATATCTATGAATTCATGGGCCAATCGCATTCAAACTATCACATTCCATTCCCTGGCCTCCATAAGCTTGTAACAATATCATAATTCAAAACACATTTAGTTCAACTTTAAAAGTCTGTATAGTCTATCACAGTCTCAACAATGTTTAAAAGTCAAAGTTCAAAGTCTCTTCTGAGATTCATGCAATCTCTTAACTGTAATCTCCTATAAAATCAAAAGAAAAACAGATCACAAACTTCCCACATATAATGGCACAGAATATACATTACTGTTCCAAAATGTAGAAAAGGAAATACTGGACCAAAGCAAGACCAAAAACCAGCTGGGCAAACTCCAAACTCTGCATCTCCATGTTGGATGTCAGAACAGTCTTCAGATCTCCAACTCTTTCTGCTTTGCTGACTGTAACACACTTCTCTCTCTTGGGCTGGTTCCACTCCCTGTTAGCAGCTCTTCCTCAGCAGGTATCCCATGGCTCTGGCATCTCCAGCATCTTGGGATCTCCAAGGCAATCCAGGCTTCACCTTCACAGCCTAATGCAATGGCCTCCATTCAGGGACACTGCTGACTCATGCCTGGTCTCAGTGGCTTTCTTAGTCTCAGAAGCAAATTCCAAAGCCCCTTTCTTCTTAACTCCAGAACCATGTAGCCACTGCTTCCAAGTTCTGCTGTTTACTGGGGCTGGAACATGGCCCCCTCATTCAATCACATCTTCACCAACTTTCTGTTTTCTATTGTTTCCTCACTGTCTAAGCTTGGCTGTTCTGAAACTGGATCTGTAGTCCAGGTTGGCCTTGAACTCAGAGATCTTTCAGTTACCTGAGGTTCACCCAGACCACCTTTTCTTTTAAAGTTCTCTTTCTCTTTCTTTCTTTCTTTCTTTCTTCTTTTCTTTTCTTTTTTTTTTTTTTTTTTTTTTTTTTTTTTTGAGACAGGCTTCTCTGTGGCTTTGGAGACTGTCCAGGAACTTGCTCTTGTAGACCAGGCTGGTCTTGAACTCACAGAGATCCGCCTGCCTCTGCCTCCCTAGTGCTGGGATTAAAGGCAGGTGCCACCACAGCCTGGCCCAGTTCTTTCTTATTTGACAGACTAACTGGGCACTCATTTACACTACCACCTTCTGTGGGAGTGACACTGAGCTAACCCCTTAAAGATGAGAACAAAGAGAAATCCAAATCCAAATGAAGGATGTGTAAGGACATTAAAATGAGAAGTGTTTGACTTGCTTAAGAAATAAAAATGAGGTTCAGGGCCGGGCGTTGGTGGCACATGCCTTTAATCCCAGCACTCGGGAGGCAGAGGCAGGCAGATCTCTGTGAGTTCGAGGCCAGCCTGGTCTCCAGAGCGAGTGCCAGGGTAGGCTCTAGAGCTACACAGAGAAACCCTGTCTTGAAAAGTCAAAAAAACAAAAACAAAAAACAAAAAACAAAACAAACAAACAAAAAAAAACGAGGCTCAGTCACTGGAGCCAGCCCTGCCTGAAGCTTCCTGGCCTAAGTGCGTCTGCCCACCCAGAGCAACTGATTCGGAGGCCTGCTCCAGCAATAGCCTTCACAGATCTGTGCAAAGTGCTCAGCACTGACAGCCTGGACCCCTGCTGCCAGAAGATCCTGCAAGACGGAGGGCTGCGTGTAGTGGAGAAGCAGAACTTGAGCAAGGAGGAGCTGATGGCTGAGCCGAAGAACAGTGAAGGCCTTATTGTTCCGTCTGCCACCAAGGTCCCTGCTGATGTCATCAACACAGCAGAGAAGCTCCAGGTGGTGGGCAGGGCTGGCACAGACACGGACAATGTGGATATGGAGGCTGCCATGAGAAAGAGCATCCTAGTTATGAGGTGCCCTAATGGGAACAGCCTTAGTGCTGAGGAACTCACCTGCGGGATGATCATGTGCCTGGCCAGGCAGATTCCCCAGGCGACAGCTTCGATGAAACATGGCAAACGGGACCAGAAAAAGTTCATGGGGACAGAGCTGAACAGAAAGACACTGGGAATTCTTGGCCTGGGCAGAATTGGGAGAGAGGTGGCCAAATGCAGTCCTTTGGGATAAAGACTGTAGGCTATGACCCCAGCATTTCCCTAGAAGTTGCAGCCTCCTTTGGTGTTCAGCAGCTACCTCTGGAGGAGATCTGGCCTCTCAGTGAGTTTGTCACTGTCCACACTCCCCTCCTGCCCTCCACCACAGGCTTGCTGAATGACGGCACCTTTGCCCAGTGCAAAAAGGGTGTGCAAGTAGTGAACTCTGCTCGAGGAGGAATTGTGGATGAAGGTGCCTTGCAGTCTTGTCAGCGTGCTGGTGCTGAGCTGAATGTGTTTACAGAACAACCATCATGGGACTGGGCCTTAGTGGCCCACAAGGATGTCATGAGCTGTCCCCCTCTGGAGGCCAGCACCAAGGAGGCCCAGAGCCACTGTGGGTGGGAAATCACAGCCCCATTTGTGGGCATGGTGAAGGGGAAGTCTCTAACAGGGATGGTAAATGCTCCGGCCCTTACCAGTGCCTTCTTTCCACACACCAAGCCTTGGATTGGTCTGGCAGAAGTGTTGGGCACACTGATGCATGCCTGGGCTGGCTCCCCAAAAGGGACCATCCAGGTTGTGACACAAGGAACATCACTGAAGAATGCTGGGACCTGCCTGAGCCCTACAGTCATTATTGGCCTTTGAGGGAAGCATCAAAACAGGCAGATGTGAGCTTGGTGAACACTAAGCTACTGGTGAAAGAGGCTGGCCTCAATGTCACCACGTCCCATAGCCCTGTGGTCCCAGGGGAACAGGGCAGTGGGGAAAGCCTCCTGACTGTGGCCCTGGCAGGTGCCCCCTATCAAGCTGTGGGCTTGGTACAGGGCACCATAGTGATGCTGCAGGTGTTCAATGGAGCTGTCTTCAGGCCAGAGGTGCCAGCCCCTGCTCAGGTTCTGGGATCAGCCCTCCAACCTTGTAATGCTGCCCACTGTGACTGGCCTTCTGGCAGAGGCAGGTGTGCAACTGCTTTCCAACCAAACCCCCAAGGTATCTGATGGAGAGACCTGGCACTTCATGGGCCTCTCATCTCTGCTGCCCAGCCTGGAAGCATGGAAGCAGCATGTGTCTGAAGCCTTCCAGTTCTGCTTCTGACCCTGGGACTCAGAGGTGCCAGCCCCTCAAGCCTTTCTGAAGAAACCCACTCACTGTGATCTACAGGGAGAGGGCAGAACCTGGGTATCTACCTGCCTTAAATAACATCTAGTATGAGTCTTAACTCCAAAAAAATGAAAAGAAAGAGAGGAAGAAAAGAAGCCGGGCATTGGTGGCACACACCTTTAATCCCAGCACTCAGGAAGCAGAGATAGGTGGATCTCTGAGTTCAAGGCCAGCCTGGTCTACAGAGCAAGTTCCAGGACAGGCTCCAAAGCTACACAGAGAAACCCTGTCTCGAAAAAACCAAGAAAAAAAAAGAAGAAGAAAGAAAGAAGAAACAAAAGAAATAAAAACGAACTTGTGGGTTGAGGCAAGCAAGAGAAGAGTGGTAGGAGAGAAGACGGCCCAGCACTTCTCGTCTGTGATAGGTATTTTAGTTTTATTCTACCTGTGTGTGGTAGTGAACACACTACTCAAAAGGCTGAGGGTGGAGATCCCTGGGTTTCTTTTTTTTTTTTTTTTTTAATTTATTTTATGTATGAGTGCTTTGTCTGCATGTACACCTTTATGCCAGAAGAGGGCACCAGATCTCATAACAGATGGTTGTGGTTGCTGGGAACTGAACTCAGGTCCTCTGGTCCTCTGGAAGAGCAGCCAGTGTTCTTAACCGCTGAGTCATCTCTCCAGCCCGATCCCTGGGTTTCTTGACAGCCTGGGGCACATAGCAAGACCCTGACTCAAAAACAAAAACAAACAAAACAAAAAACAAACACAACAGCTTGGTCTACAAGAGCTAGTTCCAGGACAGCCTCCAAAGCCACAGAGAAACCCTGTCTCGAAAAAACAAAAAAACCAAAAAAACCAAACCAAACCAAAACAAAACAAAACCCAAACACAAACAACCCTGTCTCGAAAAAACAAAAAAACCAAAAAAACCAAACCAAACCAAACCAAAACAAAACCCAAACACAAACAACAACAACAACAACAACAAGAAAATCCTAACCAAAAAACAAAGGGCTGGTGTCCTACTTAGGGTTACTATTGCTATAAGGAAACACTGTGGGGGCTGGAGAGATGGCTCAGCAGTTAAGAGCACTGACTGCTCTTCTAGAGGTCCTGAGTTCAATTCCCGGCAACCACGTGAAGGCTCACAACCACCTTGAATGAGATCTGGTAATCTCTCCTGGCATGCAGGCAGAAGACTATATACATAATAAATAAAATCTTGAAAGGAAGGAAGGAAGGAAGGAAGGAAGGAAGGAAGGAAGGAAGGAAGGAAGGAAGACTGTGACCAAAACAAGTTGGACAGGAAAAGGTGTGTTTGGCTTATACCGCCACATCATAGTTCATCACTGAAGGAAGCCAAGACAGGAACTCAAACAGGGCAGGAACCTGGAGGCAGGAGCTGATGCAGAGGCCATGGAGGGGAGCTGCTTACTGGCTGGCTACTCCTAACTTTCTTAGTCGGCTTTCTTTTTAAAAAAATTATTTATTTTATTTTATGTATATTGGTGTTTTGCCTGCATGAATGAATGTCTTTATGAGGGTATCAGATCCCCTGGAACAGGAGTTATGGACAGTTGTGAGCTGCCACGTGGGTGCCGAGAATTGAACCCCGGTCCTCTGGAAGAGCAGTCAGTGCTCTTAACCACTGAGCCATCTCTCCAGACCCCTAGCCTGTTTTCTTATAGAACCCGGGACCAACAGCCCAGGTTGGGCTCTCCCCCACCAATCACTAATTATGAAAAATGTTCTGTGCTCACTTGGGCAGCACATACACTAAAATTGGAATGATACAGAGAAGATTAGCATGGACCTTTCCCAAGAATGGCATGCAAATTCGTGAAGTGTTTCATATTTTTCATCAGGGAAATGCAAATCAAAACAACTCTGAGATTCCATCTTACACTGATCAGAGTGGCTAAGATCAAAAACACCAATTTATGCTGGAGAGGATGTGGAGAAAGGGGAACACACCTCCATTGCTGGTGGGAGGGCAAACTTGTACAGCCGCTGTGGAAATCAGTATGGCGATTTCCCAGAAATTTAGGGATCAACTTACCTCAAGACCCTGCAATACCACTGTTGGGCATATACCCAAAGGAGGCACATTCACACCACAAGGACATCTGTTCACCTGTGTTCAAAGCAACATTATTCATAATAGCCAGATCTTGGAAACAGCCTAGATGCCTCTCACCTGAAGATGGATAAAGGAAATGTGGTGCATTTACACAATGGAGGTAAGAAACAATGACATCCTAAAATTCACAGGCAAATGAACAGAACTAAAAAAAAACAACAAACAAAAAAAAAAACAC